TGGTCCCTCGTAGTCGAGGGTGCCGAGGCTGGCAATGCCTTCCCAGCTCACCCCAGGCGGTTTCTCACAGCCTGCAGCAGGCTGCTCGAGCACAAAGGTAAATATAGCTGATTTACACCCCAATCAAGGGAAGATTAACAAACAGCAAAGTGGCCGATCCTGTAACCCCCCCCCCCCCCTAAATGACCCCTGGTGTTCACATAAATCAAACCCACTGCTGCCCGAGTGCATGGCTCAGCACGGTGCTGCTCTGGGAGATGGGAGGAAAGTGAAGGTTTAGGGCACTTTGTAGTATTCATGAAATATTTTAAATTAATAATCTTGGTTACACCTTGCTGGCAAGTTCTCCCTGTGCTGGTGAAATACTGGCTTTGATTGGAAAGTTGGTTTTCATCATTTTTTTGTCCTGGAATTTGTCACCAGCTCACTAAACTGGCAGCATCCTCTCCTGGGGTGTGCAGCTGCAGGCTTGGGGTTGGCTCAGGGTCTGGTCCTCAAAATGCATTTGTGTGGGGAGACTTCACCCACAGTAAATGGAAATTAAAATAAATGGAAGTGCTTTAGTGAGTGAAATGCTCTGCGATTTATCATGTGATTTATGATGTAACGTGGAGGAGTTCAGGCAGGGCTCTGCCCATGCATCACCCGATACTAGCTTCGGATGAGTTTCCAAACCCACTGACCAGCGGCACAGACCTTCTCGTACGTGGCTCTGGGTGGGTTGCAAAGCTGGGTGCAGCATCCCCGTGTGTGTTCGATGTCGGGAAAGGCAGCGAGGAGCTGAACGACCCGCCAGAGCCCACGCTGGGGACAGCATAGCTGGCGTCCTGTGCCTCAGCCCCAGCTCTTTTTTTTTTTTTTCCTCCTAGTGTGCTATGAATTTCTGCCACGCTGACAGCAACCAGGGCTCTGGGCTCCTGCTGTGCTCCCGGGGGTCCCAGCCTTTCCCCGCTCTCCATCCCAGAACCCCGGGGGCTCGGCTGTTCTCCTTCCTCCCTGCCACTGCACGGACCGTGAGCTCAGACCATCCAAGGGTGTTTATCCAAGCTTAGGGTAATAGCTCCAGCACTGGAGTTAGGGGGATTAGAGCCAGGATTACAAGCCCAATAAACACAAAACACGCAGCTGAGCCTGGTGAGTGGGGAACCGCCCCCCGGCCACTGCTGTCTTTCCTGCTACACTCCCCTGTTGGGAGCATCAGTGTCAGGGGACAGTCACCCAAATTTTAGGGACAGTATCAGGTGCCTGGTAACCCCCTCGTGCCCGTGTTCCTGTCCTTGCTCCCTCTCCGGTGGGTGTCCCTGGCTCTTGGGTGCAAGCCCCCCCCCCCTCGGGGGGGGTGCGGAGCTGTGCACAAGGGGATGGGGCCCAACGTTTGGCCTCCAGCGTTGATGAGATTTCCCCAGATTTGCTTAAACCAGAGGAGCAAAGCTCTTGATTGCTCTGTTTTCTCAGAGATTTAAATCTCCTTTTTTAAGTTGTCCAGCACTTGGACAAGGGCTTTCCCCTGTATCCCCTTGGGCCCCTTGGCTTGTCCCCTGATGACTGTTGGGTGACCCCAAGCTTGTCCCACTGGGATGGATGGATGGATGGATGGATGGATGGATGGGCGGGCAGAGAGGGGCCTGAGCCCATGGGGTGACCCGCTGCAGATGCCCTCGGGGTTCATCTCTCCAGGAGACACCCCAGCTATTTGAATGGGCAGCACCTCAAAAGCTGCAGCAGGAGCCAGGAGAACGGGAAAGGCCCTTGTCCCCTTGCCAGGAAGGGTTGTCCATCAGTGCCACCTCCAGGATTTTGGGTCCCCAGCCTGGGGAGCAAGGCTGTTGCGGGGCTGGACGTCAGGGGGTGATTTGTGTCCCCAGAGCGGGGAAGCAGCAAGAGCCCAACACCAGCCCCAGGCACCCTTCCCAGCTGCTTTCTGCTCTGCTTTGGGTCTTTGGGAAAAAAAAAAAAAATCCTTAAAGAGGCAAACGGCAGCACAGACATCGTAATGAGCAAGTTGGAGTCCTCTGGTAAACTGCTCTGTGTGAATGTTGCATTTGTTGATGTATTATCTGCAAAACGTCTGCTTTTCTCCATCTGTATCAGGCTTCCCAAAGTCGCTGCTTTCACCAGTTAATAGCAAGAAATATCGGATGAGCAAGCAAATATGTTTAGGGCTTGTATTATGAAGACAACACACAAATAGAAAGAGATTCATCTTTTCATAATGCCACTTTTATAAAAGGCAATAAAAATACAGTGCCTTGTAAAGGGATAAACAGGCTGAATCTGAGCTGCTGCTGCGGGATTGGGGACAAGAGACAAAGTGAAGGGAACCAAATTAATGCATAAAAAAGTGAAGGAAAACTCAACCTCCGGCTATATTATATGGCAAATGATCTGCCAGTAGGGAAACATCTTAACAGCAGTTTTTGAAATGGGATGAATACTGTATACAGTGCATTATAAGGCGAAGTGTGATCTGAATCTTAATCAACATGGGGAAATATAAATCTGAAAATAATGAAGACAAAATCAATATTGATGGCTAGAAGTAAAAGTACTGTATTTGCTATAGTAAACGGTTTTAAGGTCCCAGGGAAAAATTTGTTCTAGAAGCCCCACAGTAATTTAGCATAGTTTCAATAGCTGGCATAGCCCCAGCGCATTTTGGTGGCCTTTATATTGTCACTTTAGAAAAATTTAAAAAGCAACAAATAAAAAAAAAAAAAAAAAACTGCTCCCCTGTGCTGTCACAGCGCTGGAAGCGAGTTGTTCTTCCCGCTGGGCTGGCGGCGACTGTGCTGCATCCTGGCTCAGATGGAGACATGTGGTGGGACATTCCCTTTCCACGGCGCGGCTTCGTCTGCTGAGGAGACGCTGAGGCCACCATGCAGCTCTTCATCCGCGCCCAGTCCCTCCACGCCCTCGAGGTCTCCGACACCGAGACCGTCGCCCAGCTCAAGGAGCGGGTGGCGGTGCTAGCGGGCGTCCCCCCCGAGGACCAAGGGCTGCTGGTTGCCGGGACCCCCCTGGAGGATGACACCGTGCTGGGACGCAGCCCACTCCCCGAATTTGCCACCCTCAACCTCTCCACCCGCCTCCTGGGGGGGAAAGTCCACGGATCCCTCGCCCGTGCTGGCAAAGTGAGGGGCCAGACCCCCAAGGTGGCCAAGCAGGAGAAGAAGAAGAAGAAGACAGGGCGGGCGAAGCGGCGCATGCAGTACAACCGGCGCTTCGTCAACGTCGTCCCCGGCTTCAGCAAGAAGAAGGGTCCCAACGCCAACTCCTGAGCCCCGGTGCCAGTAAA